CTGCATGGAAATCTAAAGAGCAATTTTTGCATGAAAAATTAAAGAATTTTGATAAAACTTACAAAGGTCCACGACTAGTCACTTGGATCGAAGTTAAGGACCGCCCTACGTAGATCGTCGGTTTGGTAGCTCTTACCCAAGGTTGGGAAGCAAACAGTACAGCTCTGAGCCCCCACCTTCACTGATGTTTTATACCAAGTTTCAGTCTTCCATACGTGACTACGAGTTTTGCTTGTGATTTCTACAACTCGTTTTTCTGACTTTCGTGCTGGATTTTCTCGCTTTGCTTACTCTTCCTGCAAGTTTATTTAAATCTCTTGCAAACCATACTATGATTGCAATACTAACCATACAAAGATAGCAGAGGCTCAAGTACGCTTTATAGTTTATTTACTGCATTCTACATCACTTTTATTTACATGCGATCTTCTTTACAGTCCATGCTTTAATTATAAAACAAAACAACAAAAATATATTCTTTTTTTAAAATTAAATATAATTTTAAACCTATTAAACGCCCTTAATTCATCCTTTTTGGGTTTATGAGAATCTCTTGGATGAGGTAACCTACGATAGCTAACGAGAATTCTTCAGTCTAAATGGTTTTAACGACTTATTTGGACTAAGTAAATTCAAGAGAAATTTGTGGTGTCGGGATGATGGAACCATAAGATCTAAACCGATGTCGCTCAAATTAAATTAAAATTTCTCTTGAACATTTCAACATTTGAACAACAACGAACAAACCAAAATGTGGCATGTAAACCTCAAACCCTTAAACCTTGGAGCTACTACTACAACAGGAGGCTTAGAGCCAACTTCGTGGGCAGCATAGCGAGGAGCTTGGATCAAGCAAAAAGAGGATTTCAGCAATCTCTCCCCCTAGTATAAATAACAATCCATATGACTTTGAGGTAGCTCGCCCAGCGCGACGTAAATCATTATATCATTGTTTAGGCTCCTGTACAACCATGTTGTGCAGCGTAACCTAACTCGTCTTAGGTTTTGAGGTTGTCGTTCGGTACGACGCAAACCCTCCTATAAATGCGGATTATTTGTATAATTGAGTATTATGCAAGTGCGAGTCCCAAATAATAAAATTGACATGATTCAACACTTAAATAACATCGTCTCCAAAACACAAGTCACACGATAAGATAATTTGGGAAGTCACTAAGGGCTCTATTCAGGATTTGTGACGCCTTTTACCCTTTACTTCTTTTGGACTCTTAAAATAATTGTTTTCATTTGGTCCTTTCCCACTTACTTTTCCACGTCCTACCATGAAACCTAAACTTTAAATTCTTGAGAACTGACACATCTGATTATTATCAAGAGTTTTCTCAAGTGACATCGGTCATTTGAGATGTAATTAACAATAAAGGTTTGACTCTATAAGAAACTTAGAACTCAGATAAAATAAACCTTACCTAATATTATATGAGGTAAGAGAATTTGTCGGACATGCATAAAAGGTTCGCAAGTCAAACATATGTCACAAATGTCTTAGTTTGCATGATTGGGTTCATCACCGAGATATAAACTTACCTTTCGGGAAGATGTAGTACTCGCGGTATCGGACACGATTATGTAAACTATTAGAAGAATGAGATCCATCGGTCTCATTTTCCAAAAATTAAAACACCACTTTTTAAATTAAAAAGTTGACCGACAAATAAGAGAGCATTAGGGCAACTTTTTGAAAGCCTCAATTCGAGAGCAAAATACCCGTTAGCTGGGAAAATTTATGAATTTGTTTAGAGAACTTTTTTAAAATGGGGTTCTAACGCTTCCTTGCAGGTACAATTGGAGTAATTAGGGAATTTTTTGAGAAAATATCCATTCGAGAGCAAAGTACCAGTTAGGCGAGGAAAATTAAGAAGTCGTTTGGAAGTTCTTTTAAAATTAGGGTTTCTTGTAAGTTATGGGAAATTTTTTTGAAAACCACCATTCGAGAGCAAAGTACCTGCTAGGCATGAAAAAAAGCGAACTCATCAGGAAATTATTTTTAAATCGGGGGGCTCTTTGCTTACAAACTAACCTTTCTTGCAAGTACACTGAAGGCCCGTCGCATCTTTTAAGATCACATATTAAATACTTTTTAGCTCCCTGTTGCGTCTTTTGAGACTGCAGGCTAAAAATTATAATTTTGCCCCCGATAACAGTGTCGTAAGCACTGAACAGTGATTCTTCTGAGAAAGCTAGGAATGTTGGCATTCTCTCGTGCCCCCTAACAAGGGTTGGCGTCAGGAGGCTGCCAAAATTCCGAGTGATTTAGACTTGTAATCTCTTAAAATATTTGAAATTTTGGACTTAATATATATGTATGTATCTCTCTCTTTATATATATATATATATATATAACATTGTAAAATGATTGAGAAAACTTAAGCTTTTAAAATTTTAGCCTTTTATGGTTTTAAATTACGGGGGCCCATGCTTTTAAATATTTAGGCTCTTTAGGCTTAAAAGTATTTAAAATTCTAAAGTTTTAAAATTTTTAGGCTTTTCGGGTTTTTAAAGATAAAAATCATTTTTTTTTTTGTCTTTTAAAACTTAAATTCAAAAGTTTAAACTAAAAGTCAATGACAAAGTTGAGCCTTCAAAATTAAGAGCATAAGGCTTACAAATAATCCAAAATTTGGAATTTTCAAATCAAAACTCTCGAGTTAGAATCATTTGAATTAACTCAAATATTAAGTATTGGTGCTTTCAAAGATAACCTAAAACATTTGGGAGACTTAGCTTAATTTAAAATTGAAGTACCAATTCATAAGACTGAGCTTAAACTGAAATTCAAACACCCCGAAAGGAGGAGCTAAGTTTGATTTAAATAAAATCTGCCACCTGATTCGCAACATATTTGCTAGCGAACAGAAGACAGTTCCTTTTTAAAAGCCTAAAATCATAATACTTTTGAAATATTTTAAGCTTTAAATGATTTTAAATTTTATAAAAATCTCATGATTATTCCGTAAGTCAAATATGACATCGTGAAATGTGAGACCATCCTTAAGAATTAGAAGGATTCCACTTGAGATATTTTGTAAAGTAGGTTCATTACTTAAAATTCATGCAAGTCTTTAAAGCTTATAAAAAGATGTTCAAATATGAGAAATTTCAATACCCGCATGTGCTCCAACTAAAATATTAAATGTTTATATACGAGGTTAGAGAATGTTGCATGGGCTAATTAGGTTGCCTTATGTATAGGACAGGGTTATAAGTCTCACCCCACTGGTTTGAACCTCCTTTTCGCAAGGACTGAATATGACGAGTCTAATAAATTTAATAAATGTCCAAATCCTAAAGATAATAGTTTACAAGTTCAAATCACTTAGTCTAATTCTCCTCCTTGTAAGGATAGGGGTCGACATGCTTAAACTAACTATCTGATGATGATCGTATTAATCGAAGATTCCAACTGAAAGGGTCAATCTTTAAAATCAAGCCTTTTTAAAATAATCAACTAATATATTAAGCAAAATTCAATCATTTAAAAGTTAAAAGCAAAATTCATCCGCTCTCCGCAATAATTTCTTGAGGGTGACAAACTTTTGATTGACTTCAACTCACAAAAAGAAAATGTCATATCAAATGTATCAATATATTCACAATTAACGTAATTAAGTGCTAGTAAGGACATGACCCCAGTCCTTTGTCCGTGTGTTTTTGCCGCCAAATGATATCTGATGGTTGTCGCCAAATGACATTGCCATGTTACGGTCACAGCCACAGCCCATATATTCCCCAACGGCTTTCTACTATTTAAGTTGTGAATCATAAGGGTACAATTGATTGACACAAAGTCTTATTTTAGCTAATGTCGACTTAAATTTGTCCCCTAAGATAAACATCTACCCTAAATCTACAAGGATACCTTGGATGATGCAACCCATGGCTGTTGACAATGATTCTTCTGTTAGGTTGGGTCAAGTACCTCCTCTAAGTAGATCAGGGATCATGACGACCTGGGATGATGAAACCATAGAATCCTAATCAATTTTCGTCTTAATTCTCCCACCATCCACATTAAGCTCTAAGTGATAAATTTTATAATTTAAATCCTAAGTTTGTTGCTATTATATGTTTAATTTTTAATTCTTAATGACTAGCCTTAATCGAAAGTGTTCTTTCATTATCAGGAGGGGTAATTAATCATAGGGGCATGCACCTTTAGGAAACCTCAAACCTCGGATCCAAAAGTACTCGTTAAATAAGGGTGAAATCTCTAGGTAATGTACATCTACAATCCAATATGTCTTCTGAAAATTAGACCCTCTAAAGCTCTCAGCAAATCAAAAATAAAATAATGCAGAGAGTGCCATGGGGATCGGTTGTCAAATTTTCGGAGCCCACAATGTTCTTTTCTAGTCCAAGGATGAGAATTAATATTTTCATCTAATTAGATTATGAAATTATGACGCCACAATGTTCTTTAACATCATTAAAACTAGTTATATGCATGATTTTAAATTTCTTTTGTTTGATCAGCAATAGGACCCTTCAAAATTAAGTAATGGATGTCATATTTTGCATGAAACGATAATTTTGATTTCAATTTATACAAAATTTCGAATGAAATGTAATCAATGCATAAATTATGTATCTCATCTTGTATGTATTGGATAATTTTTATTGGGGTTAAACTAGATTTGAAAAGGCATATATTCTTCATCAAATCATCCTTGTATTTTTAATATACTACATAAATAGTTAAATTATCAAAAAAAAAAAAAAAAAAAAAAAAATTTGATCGACAGGCATGCATATGATAGAGAAAGGGGTTTTAAAAGTGTTTATAATGTTCAAAAGTTATAAAGATTTCTATACATTCAATAAAATGACAGAATCCATAGAGTATATTATTTTTTCAAAAACATACTTTCTAGTTTCAATGATCTCAGTTATGTTAATATCCTACGGTTAAAAATTATTGTATATCATGCATTGTACGATATCTACATGGCAGAATATAAGCAAAGCTCTATCGTACTTGCCTGAAAATTTTGTGCTGCAAGAGGATCATTGGGATTTTTATCCGGATGAACTTGCCTCGCCTACAAATTAACACAAAAAATTAATAGAAGTGCAACTGTGAATAAAGATCTATATCTAGAACTGTAACAATATGAAAATTGTTAAAATCAATCAGAAGAAAATGATGGGCATGGCACTATACATTAAGATAGCAACACTCCAAAAAAAAAAAAAAAACAAAGGAAATGGCTTATTTTTTTCCTGCAATAAAAATGGGGGTCACAAATGATGGAAAGCCTGATTCGTTGTCATATATATCAATAATCTTCATTTCAATTTTTCTGAAGACCTCTTTAACACTTAAACACCACAAAGAAAGTACGTATAAGGACTTCTTACAAGTGTGACCTTCCCTCAGAAGCATGGAGGTCGACTTTCAAATAAAAATAATATTGAAATTGATCTCTTGCACAGAACAAAACCAATAGGCAAAACAGTTACATTCTTTAACACTTCCTCCACTTCCCACTGTCATTAAACCAATAATACAAGAATGCTTTCTCTTATATAATCTGAAATATGTACTTCACAAAAAATAAAAAATAAAAAAAATAAAAAAGAGCTTGAGGTACATGGATACAAAAATTATAAAAATTATAGCTTGAAAATTAAGATGGTGGGCTTAAAGGAAGAAATTTGTTCTGCCTCAGTTTACTTCATAAAACAACTAAAGGAGAACTAAAATATGTGAAATCTAAAATAAATCCTAGGAATCAAACATTATTCAGAAAACAAAAATGGACTCATGCACTGCACAGTGAAAGGACGGCTCTGAACGCTTCTCCGTTCAAGCAAGATTAACTGTAGCAACAGCAAGTTCAAATGTTACGTAAAGTATACAGAAAAATGATATGGCATGTGCCAACAAAACATCTATGTTGCCGGCCGATACTCAAAGAACAAATACAAAGCATAGATTTCAGTGTCCTGAGAAAACAAATATATTTTAGGATATAAAATAATAAAAAACAATATAGTTTAGGAGATAAAATAATAAATCACTAAATAGAGGCAGTTTTGTCGTCCTGGAGCTAGACCAAAGTTATTATCTTATTTCAAGCAATAATAATGGTAAAGAGATCAATCAAAGTCCTTTCATTCTTCCCTTTTACTTGGTTATGGTAGGGTTCTTTGGCATTGTTTAGCAGATAAAGCATCAGGATTTCACATATAGAACCCCAAACAAATTCATTTCTGAATAAGCGTCATAGATATATTCCAATATATTAAAAGGATTCTTGAGTGCAAGTTCGTTCAACCATGTTCTTCTGTAAAAGTTATTAAGCGATCCAAAAGGATTTCATTATCTTAGTTTTTTTTTTTTTTTTGAATTTTTTTAATTTTTTTATCATTCAAACTTGATTCTGAAAAAATTCCAGACATACTACAAGTTCCTTAAGAGGATCGAGATATTTTTTATCTAAGTTGCAACTCCAAATATATGCAAGAAAGGAGGAAACCAAGACCAAAAAGACTCAGATTTCAATTTGCTTAAAAGCAGCACAGAAAATGCAGTTTAAAAATAGAATAAAAACTTGAAATTTATTCATTCAAAGAGGCAGGACCATCAGAAGGAGGATTTCTAGAAATTATTTAAAATCCAGCTAGTTTTTAATATTTTTCCTACTTTCCTGCATATTCCCAAATTATAGCATTTTGTTCGCTACTAAAGGGTTTGTTCATATTACTTCACACTTTTTTGAATTTGAAAGAAGTTTTAAATCTTACATAGATCTCTACTAATTGGGATCATACTCAGATATTTAACTTTGGATTGAGTGTAAATTAATTTTGAATTATCAAAATATGCTCACCAACCTATATACCACCCGATTCTCCCCATTTCAAATGACCATAGCAAATTTATGTGGACCAATGTAAGCAGTTGTCAAACATAGCCTTCTAGGAAGGATAACTAAGGGTGTGTTTGGGGCAGCTTATGCTTATCCAGATAAGCAGCTTATCCTGAAACACGGCCCGTAGGTGGCCCGGGGTTCGACCCGCGGCCTGCGATTAGTGTAAAAACTTAATCGTGTTTTCGGATAAGCTGTCGAAACGTGTTTTCCAAATGGTGAGGTGACGTTTTGAACGCCTTTCACACTTATAAGCTGCCCCAAAAGGGCCCTAAGAAATCAAGTACCATTCTCCTCTCTACTTCGTTGCAAAAAATGAAATTCACCCATTGTGGTAAGGCAAGAATAAGAGGAACATAAAGATAGATGGCAGGGAGAAAATCAAGAACGAAAGATAAAAGGAAAAGAATAATATGAAAAAGGTTATAGGAAGACAAACTGCAACATTATGGAAAGAGTTTTGAATTTTGTCTATTAGATGAGCATCAACACTCTATGAGTTTTGCTATTCTCTATTGCAAATATCCGCAATCACTAGCAAAAAAATAATCAGATGTAATGCACGAAAACTTAAAAAAATAAGATTAGAAGGTATACAGCAATAAAATTCAATAATGATGATTTATATTTTAATTTAATTTTAGCATACTTGCTTGTGGGATTGCCTATGGTTCACTCTCAAGCCAATTTAACCAAAGCTCAAAAATAGCTTGTAATCATTAAATCTGAACTTGAGCCAAGACAAGTTATGTTATAGGCTAGCTCAATCCAATCTCAAGCAGAATCAAATCTGATTATAAACTACCTTGATCCAATTTCTATTCAACCCATAGAATATTAGTAGGTGAAACTTACATACCAAATCCCCAAAGACTCCCTCTAAATAAACGCGAAAGAATTTTGATCAATTGGGCATTAAAGCAAGATTATTGGCCTAAATCGAAAGATGATTAACCAAAAAGCTATAAAGGAAGAAGACCAATAACAAATCAGAATGCAAAGTGATAGCAACACACAATAAATAAAAATAATGATATATTTGCCAAAATTGGAAGGGGACTGGAAAACATGATGGAGCAAATAGCTCAGCTTCAGCTATGAGTGTCACGAAAACAAGGACGTGATCCCTCCATAGGTCATGGAAGAGCCCAAAATTTCCAAAGGACATTGATGAAGATTTTGGAGAACTGCTTACCTATAACGAAGGCCAACCACTGGTTAGACACCTCATTTCAAAGTAAGGGTCAGCTAAAATTGCAAACTTTGTCGGCATAATGAATGCTGATGAGGTAGACAACTAATTGGATGGCAAATAAATCTATTTATTCGTTTAGAATTACTTGTGAGAAAAAGAAATTCATTTGCTTTATTGAAAATGTCATCCATTCACTTGCACAATGATATATAAAACTTTTTAAATTGCAAACGATTTCACAATAATTGGGTATTGTTTATACAATGACTGAGGACCCCATTTTATCCCATCAAGCACGTGGAAGTGAATTCGTTCCTATGGCAAAAAATGAGGAAAAAATCTGAGCAATTGGCATGCAAGAGGCCTTCGCACTCAGCATCTCAATGCAAGCAAAAAAATCAGTTCTCATAGAATTTAGTATGGAACTTGATGAAGGTATTCTAAAAGAATTAAAGATTTTCCTAGCGCATAGTATTACAGAGGCTAGCTCAAAAGATATAGCTATGAAGGAGAAGAGAAAACAAACAGTAGTAAGCAAAAGTGCAGCCAAAGAAGTGATCAAAAAGAAAAGCAGTCCAACAAAGTCAAGGGAAAAAGAAAACATTATCATATCATAGTTACAGCCAATTAAAGATTCATTTAGATTTTGGAGAACTGCTTACCTATAACGAAGGCCAACCACTGGTTAGACACCTCATTTCAAAGTAAGGGTCAGCTAAAATTGCAAACTTTGTCGGCATAATGAATGCTGATGAGGTAGACAATTAATTGGATGGCAAATAAATCTATTTATTCGTTTAGAATTACTTGTGAGAAAAAGAAATTCATTTGCTTTATTGAATATCTCATCCATTCACTTGCACAATGATATATAAAACTTTTTAAATTGCAAACGATTTCACAGTAATTGGGTATTGTTTATACAATGACTGAGGACCCCATTTTATCCCATCAAGCACGTGGAAGTGAATTCGTTCCTATGGCAAAAAATGAGGAAGAAATCTGAGCAATTGGCATGCAAGAGGCCTTCGCACTCAGCATCTCAATGCAAGCAAAAAAATCAGTTCTCATAGAATTTAGTATGGAACTTGATGAAGGTATTCTAAAAGAATTAAAGATTTTCCTAGCGCATAGTATTACAGAGGCTAGCTCAAAAGATATAGCTATGAAGGAGAAGAGAAAACAAACAGTAGTAAGCAAAAGTGCAGCCAAAGAAGTGATCAAAAAGAAAAGCAGTCCAACAAAGTCAAGGGAAAAAGAAAACATTATCATAGTTACAGCCAATTAAAGATTCATTTAGATGAAGATTGTTGAAAGCAAGATTTAGAAAATAAACCATCCATAAAGCAGATCAAGAAAATTCTAACCACTATGGGAAGAGAATATGTTATAAAATTATTAAGAGAGTAACAAGAATTCATCAGTGACACTTATGACTACAAACAAGATCAGTAACGAATTCATCAAGGTCAATATTATGGTTAAAAAAGTAAGAACTCATATTGATTCAAGTAGCAGCAAGAACCTTGCTATTTTTCTTTGGTTCTTTAGGGAATGACAACCAAAAGCTTATACTCTAAAGTGGGTTAATAACAACGTTCTCATTGAGGTGGAATATAAAATAAGTTGAAGTTTCTATTGTTGATATTTATATTGATGAGATTGTGTGGTGATCCAATTAGATGTTTGCAATATGGTAGGAATGAAGCATATGTTAGAAAAATGTGATATTTTCTCCTTGACGCAAAATAGCAAGAAAGTTTATCATAGGTAATGAAATTTCTAAATATGCTTTCTGAGGCATCAATGAGTGGTAATAAACTAAAACTAGAATCACCAGCACTACTAGAAGGAGCCCCCTTAGTTAAACTCTTGTCAGGCCAAAAATAAAGCTCAGCCTTATGAGATATAAAATTATGTTCCATTACAAGAAACTAAAGGCCATGATCTATAGAAATCTTAACATCCAAAATTTTCTGCATAATCAAGAACTTTCAAAATTGATTCTACAAAAATCTTAATTTTTTTGCAAGCTACTCAACAGATTCTTGATGATTTGCATCAAATTGCAACTAATAATCAAAGAAATCATCCAAGATCAAGAAAATTCAATTTTAATTTGCTTAAATCAACAAATTAGCAACTAAAAAATTAACCATTCAGTCAAAAGAAGAGTTTTAAGAAATTTTTTAATCTATTTCTACTTTCTTGGATAATTTTATTAGCCACTTTCAATGTGCTTAGTTCTTAATTTCAATTTGTTTGAATTTAAATTAATTTTGTATATATTTTTTGGATCTCTATAAACAAGGAATAATATGTGATTTTAAATTTAAAATTGAATTGAACTAAATGGATTCCTAATTCTCTAGACTTCAACCACCATGTTAGGTTCCCCTCCCTCCAGCCCTCTCTACTTCATTATGGTAACTTCTTTCAATTTTATCTACTAGATAAGCATCATATCTTTGTGCATTTGCTACGGTCTATTTCACCAATCCCTAGTCATTCATATTGATCCCTTTTCCATTTACTTGATAGATTTATTTAGAAAATTGACATTGAGTTAATAAGAGGCCTTGTGTTATCTTACTTTGGATAGTTTTAGGTTGGGAAGAATGAATCCCTCAACCATATAATGTAAGAGATGTGCCCTTACACGCCAAAAATTGACTCCCTACCCAACTCGCAATCCTCAAACACAAGATGAATGGATGGACAGCGGAACTACATCAATAGTATTGATCATGATTGCTATCACTTAAATTTCATTACAAGAAAGCTTGACCATGATTTGGTGGCCCCTTGGTTGAATTCAACATTTGCTCAAAATACAAGATCACTCCATCTTTGAATGTATATAAATCATCCTCTTCCCACCAAGCAATCAACATGTGCAAAATAATGTCAAATTTCCCCCAGTTCCCCTTTGTCACCAATCCATAAATGGATATGAAGATTTGATTGCAATTGAAATCTCGCCTTCCTATTTTGGATTAATCAAAATCATCGAAGGAATTGATGTGTTTTACTTGTTCTTTATACAAACACCTCTTGTACACTCTTTGATTATTTAGAATAAATATTGAACTTTTTCTTATGTGTAATCTCTTGGAGAAGCTAAGTGGCAAATTCAAATCCTTGGACTCTGGTGAGTTTAAGGTTTTATCTTTGTTCATATTTTTATCCCCTCATCTTCTACTTCTTTATTTTTAGATCATCCCACACTATCTTTAACCTAAGAGCACTATCAACCTCCTACTCACCCAACCCCTCCTCATAAAACCCTCAATTCAACACTCAACAATAAACCTTAACTCCAATAATTCCAACTTCACCACCACCTATACTTTTCTCCATTTTAATTCTAACACTAAAAAATTTTATAACCTCTCCACAAGCCCTTTCCTAGTCCTAACCCTCATAAAATTCAGCCAAATAATCCCCACTCCATCACTTCCTCTTAGCCTCAACCACCATTAAACATAACCTTAATTACAATATCACCTTTCCATAACCTCCTTATCATGCACCATAAGCCACCATCAAACAATAGACCGTTTTTTTCCTCAAGAAACTCCCACCTCCATTATATTAGTCTTGGATCATTTAATTATGGTATCAGAACCCAACCCTTGGCCTACAACCAAAAGTTGGTGGCTACGACCAAAAGTTGGTGGCCAATAATGGATAAATGGTAAAAACCCAAACAAACAATAATAATCATAAGGCTATCAAAGTAAAAAAAATACAAGTCCTGATGCAAGAAATAGCAACACAAGGAAAAGAATGTTATATGTACTAGAAAACATGATGGAGTGTGTCTCAACTGAAGTCCATAGTGACCCGGAAAGGGAAGGAATCCATCGCTCAATTGTAGTCATAGGGACCCAGAAAGAAAGAAGGAATGACTCCTTCAATTTGAGGCTATAGTGTCACGGAAGTAAATAGAGGAACCCTCCAAAATTCATGAAAAAGGCCTCAACATTTTTTAGAACAATAATAAAAGCTCAAACTACAAAATTAAAGACATTCTACAAAGCAGCATTGTAAAAAAAAACCATCGACTAAAAGCAGAATATCCACTGGAAATTATAAAATATGCAAGCTTGACATATTGTATTTTGCCCAACTTTTATCGCTTGAACTCTTACCCTAGAACACACTAATGCAACTTAAAGTTTCGTAGAAGCAAAAGGGTTAAAAGGCCGAAAGTATGCTCCCAAGAAGCTTGTTAGCTACCAATTTCCCATACGAAGCACAACTTTGGCTTCTGTTCACACCAATATCTCTCAAGTACAAACATGTAGTAAGAAGGGCAAAAGCTAGCGGCCTTTATTTTTTTGTTTTGCACAAACAACATCAAAACAAGCAAAGGAGACAAACACCAAGGCTTCAACCCCATCTACTAATTGTATCAACACTTCCCAAGTGCACTGATATGAGAAAGTAAAAAGCCATCGCTAAAATATTGTCAAATGGTTGAGAATGAACGGCAGGGGAAGAGATATTTTTAGATGAAGAAGGAATACCAAGAGATCTCGGATACACCTTAAGAATATAATAAAATAATAATAATAACCTCCTTGTCACATCTTATATGTGACTCAGATGAAAACTACCTCCTATAGGTAAAGCGGCGTGGGGTAGAATAAAAGTTGTCCTTAGAAGTAGAGCAATGTTATTGCTTCAATCGTGCTAGTAACAAATCTACTTGTGTAGGTTAATGCTCAAGTTGTCCACCGAGGCCCCACGCAGATTTGTTCAGTCCATACGTGACATGGTCTGCCCATATGAAGTGCTCACTTGAGCACTATAGACCCATTTGAATTGCAACTGCTTAAACAAAGCCAACAAAAAATCTTGTTAAGCAAATTTTAATGATCCAAGAAAATTTTTGGCTCAATTTGTTTCATTCAAACTATAATCAAGTTCAAATTGAGTTCACCAACCATTTTTTACCATGAGTTGTAAATCCAGCATACCATCAATTAATGGAACTATTAATGGGTTGACTTCATCATTATCATGATTTGACTTATAAAATTATAAACATCAAATAAAATTTACAAAATTAGTTCAAAATTTGGCCCAACAAATGAAAAAAGAAATTTGGTCACTTTTGGGTCACTCAAATTGAAATCCTAAAAGTATGACTACATTCAATGTTCTCGGAGTGATTGTGGTTAAAATTTTCAAATGGTGGACTATTGTTTTACCAAATAGCTATCAAATCTCCTCCAACCATACAAAAAGAATTTATTACATCAATAAATAATTTATTTTTCATTTGACATTTTGCAAAACAGCATTATGTTGCAAAAGATCGTAACGTCGACCACCATTATAGAGGGATCACAATAAAATCTTCTCTATTCTTACAAAAAGTACTTATTATAACATAAAATGGTTTGAGGTGAAAAAAAAGTATAATAAAACTTATAGCAAAATAATCCAAAAATAAGAAATAAATGTGTTCATCTAAAATAACACCCAATAATTTCTAGTTATTCAAACCGGATAGTCTTGATTCTTACTCAAATGATCTCATGTAATGAAGATCAAAAGGAATGGGCCTTCTAGCATCGACACTGCTCAATCGCATCAAGATTCACATAAACATTCCAACTAAACATAAAGAGGCATAATTTCATTGGCACCAACCACTAAGTTCTAACATGAATCAATCTGTCTAATTCAAATATCTAATGATACTAATTTTGAAACATGGGGTATCCTTTGCTCTACCCATCATTGTAATGGGCGAGATATTTTAGCGGAGGTTTCAAACATACTGTGATTGATACTTAACCATTGATCAGATTGAAGGCTACAATGCATAGCATTTTGGTCCAACGTAGTTCTCGGGGATATGTAAATTATCCATCCACAGCATGTTTTGCCAAGATATCAAAAGAACCTTTATTTGACTGCCCAAAAATATGATCTTGGCTTCAAGCTCATTCAATTGCTTGTTCACTGAAATAACTTCCTAGGGAACCATTCCTCGCGCCTGACTCATCCCGCACCACACGGGGTACCCTTCAAAAATTCAACCAGCCTCTGACCGCTATCTGAAATGAAAAATCCAATAATTTCAGAGATACCTCTCATGCTGACTCGCCTTAGTTGTGATACAATTCATATAGCAAAGCAGTTGAAATTAGAAACCAATCCTAAGAAGGTTGACTGTGTTATCTAACAATTCTCTTTTCTTTTTAACATTTCCCCAAATGAAAACGACAACATATCCATTATGCGTATCCCAAGAATCATGCATATATGAAACTTTCGCAACAATAAGTTATCAAGGGTGTCCCAGCTGAAGGCCTTCCAAAAACCTCCTAATTTCAGCGATCTCAAATAGATAAGAAGAAAGAGAAAGAGTAGTCAAGATAGAAAGTGAAATAATGATAAAAAATCAGTAAAATAGCTTTAGCATTTGGGAGATGAAGAATCTAATAACTATTAAAGTCAAAACAGAAGTATTTTCATCGCAATAAAGAGCCACAACAGAGTGCCGGCAATGAGATCATCCACGAATAGGGTTACCTTGATGTAGTATGCCTTCTTGATCTCGGCCTCGGTGGCCAAAGAGCTGACTCCCAGTATGTCGTAGTAATCCGTCTCCTTCACCATCTCGTCCTCTGCACCACGCAGATCTAGCAGTAAGATCTAATTCGAACTGACCCACTCAGGATGATTTCCTTTGAGAATCTTCCTTCCTGACGACTGACCGATGAGGAAGAAAGCAAAAGAGCAGCTTGCTTGGGTGGAAGCCAGGCGGCGGAGAGAAGATGAACTTTATTTCCTCCGAAACCGCGTTTGATTCTTACGCGAAGAGACCATGTCGTGAGCCGCTGACCTCAGGCGCTCGTCTCCCGGTTTCGAGGGGAGCTCGCATGGGGAACCTATGAACACGGGGCGCGCATTTGATGGGACTGGATCAGGTCAAGATGTTGATACCAGGTTTTAGTTTTGATTTTGGTTCCAGAAGGCACGCAGTCTATCTTATTTTGAGTTGAAAGGTTGGACTTTGATTTTAAATTCTACATCTTAGAAATGTGATGTGTGTTTGTCATTAAATTATTTTAAGGGGACTTTTTGCTACAAGTAGATTTAGTATATTCGGATTTATCAAATTGATTCACTCGTTCGATTTACTAAATTCAGATTTAAGATGAATAAAAGGCAAAATATAGTGCACGGGACGAAGAGGTCAGTTTGACTGTGAACCGGCCAGAGGCCCGATTCATGGTGGCCCTAAAAACCGCCCCCATATTGATCGGTCGGAACCAACGGTCCAACAGCTGCACCAGTTTATTTTTTTTTTGTATTTTTTAGAGACATTTTTTGGATTATAATACTTGATTGCTAGAGTTTTTTTAGAGACGTTTAAATTAATTGTTTAAGTTCATATATGATTTATATTTCATGATATAATTTTTAAGTTCATAAGAATTTTGTGTTATGTATGTAGATGTCTTTTTTTGTAAGTCTTTAGTAGGTATCCTCTCTTTCAAGTTTAGTTTTAATATTTCTTTAATTGAATCAAAATATATTCATCAAATATTACAATATTTGCAGACCACTGAAGTTATAATGAGAAAGAAAAAAAAAGGTGACAAGCCTATGTTCTAACAAAATATTCAAGCATTAGGCTAGTACCCTAAGTTCTAAGAAAAATATGGAATGATAGATGGAACCTCATATATATATATATATATATATTTAATGTAACATTATGTTCTAACCACAAGTTTCAATCATTAGAATCAAGCAACGGTTTGTAGTAAGGATTTGATCATTATTTAAATCATATATAAATCTTGATTAAATCTAAAGATTGACTATTAAATTAGAAGTTGTGGATAAAAAATAAGTTATGATATAGAAACAAGGTTTGAACATAGGTTCCAACAAAGGAACTATGTTTAAACTATTTTCAAATCATCTTTGAACATAAGTTTAAATCATATTCAAATAACATTCATTCCAATAAAAAATTTGATAAAATCGAATATCATACTAATTTGAATCAATGAATTTGATTTAATTTTTGGTTATGAGATTCTCAAATTTTAATAAATTAGAAAACCAACATATATAAGGGATAGCCTTGCTTAGTTAGTCTTGGTTGATTTCCTAATTGGACTTAGACTTGTTGGATGACATGATTTGCTTTGGTCATATAATTAGCATGTGTGTTGCATGAGAAATGATTAGTATTATTTAACGTGCCACTTAGTGTTTCTCACTGATCTCATTAGAATAGGATTGTGCTTGATTTGCATAAGCTGAGTTCAACATTATATGTGTGAGCACACTTATTGGCATGTAATCCTCTTCCTTAGTACCACTAAATCAATCTTAGGCTCTCTTTAAAACATGAACTGTCACTATTATCATAGCCAAATAATTTATCTATCATTAGTCTTTTCTACAATCCCATTTCCTTACAAAAAATTTATCTCACGCATTCATAGTATTTTGAAGTTTTGAGCTATATCCAAAATTCATTAGTGAAGCATTGTTTTTTAGCAAGCCTAACTTAACCTTGCTTAGACGAAAGAATAATTCACGTTTAGTCAAACCCTAGTTTATTTAGATGCCTTAATCTATATTTGGATAAGTCGTATTCACCTACATTTAGACATATCCATATTTGACCTACAAAATATCTATATGAAATGCATTCATAAGATTACAACCTTATAATTGTTATAAGTTAAATAAATCCAATAATTCACCCACTCATGTCTTTGTGGGTCATATCCACTTGAATACTCTATGTCTTATAAGTATACCATACTTACTTGAGCTGAGTAATTTGCTTTTTTACTAGGCTAGATTCATTTGAATACAACACTCTTGCTCGTGGATTAAATACACTAAGAATCACATTATTTAAGTATACAATAATTGCTAAAGTGACATTATATATCTCTAATCTCTTAAAATTTTCTCTTAGTTGTTTAGACACCTATTTAGATGTCCAAGCTCAATTTGGTGAGTAATAAAGTTCATTTTTATTGATTATATAACTATGATGCTGATTAATTCTCTAATAATATTAATCATCTTGAGTTAGCACATAAACTAATTAATGAATTTAACTCTTAGTTCAAGATGGACATGTTATCATGAAATGTTATTTATTCTTATCAGTAAATTGGTTTTGTAATATGATAATTAATTTGTGTTAGTTAGAACTCGTGTGATTAATATCAAAATTTTAATTGAGTTAAGGGATGTCCCGTTGACTATATTTCAAATTTAAATTAAGTAGACATTTGTATGATATTTTATTAAAATTGAAAGAAATAAAATTTTCCTAAATAAATTATTTTCTAAAGTCATATACAATTAATTTTAAATTAAAATTTTCATCTAGATTAGACAAGTAAAGATGATAGTCTTTAGTTCATTTTGTTTTTTGTAGCAAAATTAGTCTTATTAAACATTTTTTAATCATTTTAGATAAACCTCAAAGCCACACTGATTTTTGCATACATTAGATATTGTGATAGACACAAACATAGTTGTTTGTTTAGTCTATGATAGAGTGTAATTTGGATTTTTTATTATACAACCATTGTATTATATATTTTTTTATGCTAGTTGTTTATCTTAATATATTTTTTTATTATATTTTATATGTGTTATGTGTGTTCTTTTATAGGGGTAAAGCCTATATAAACATAAGTGTCATGTTAGCTTACTTCTCTCATAAGACATGATATATTACACATTGCATATTATATGTCCCTATAACTATTGATCTCTATTTTCTGATGATGAGTATTTATTTTTTGCTTTCAACACACTTTTTCCTATTAAGAAGTGCATGCATGAAGCTAAAGTATGAGTATGAGTCTTATTGAAATAGCAACATTAAGGTCAAAACTATACGAAGGCTGGGACTAAAAACAACATGTCTCATGCTTATGTTTAGATGTATATATTTATATAGATTTAAAATTAAGTTGTGCATATGTGAAAAAAGGTAATATATATTTTTAATGAAGTGTATTGTAAGCTCATTTGCACTCAATCATTCTCTTGCTTTCATATTGCATTGTTAGTTTATTAATTACACTTCAGTGATTTTATAGCCTTTTAATGATGTGGTGTTTGCATAGGACTCATAGCTACATTTTACTCGTAAGAAGAAAAATTTCTATAGAAGTAATTAAAATGATGAGTAAACTAAAATCAATTATATGGAAAAATTAATTTTCATAAAAGTGGTTTCATTATTATATGATTGTTAATTTTTTTTTTTAATAAAATGAACAAAATCCTCTAGAATTTAAATAAAATAAACAAGATGCTACGTATTGAGCCTCCAATGGTTTTTCATAAGAAAAATTCAATTATTACCTATGACATAGAGTTGGTTAATAAGAGTATTCTAAAGTATTTTTCATGATATAACTAAACTTAGGAATAATATTATATAATATTTTGAAACCATATAATATTAAAAAAACAAATATATATATATATATATATAACATGAAGTGTTTTTTGTGAATATACCTTAAAAGGTAACATAAATCTAAAATGTGCAGACTTACATAAGTTTTGATATATAGAGATGATATGAAAGATTCTAGACTTCTTTCTCTATCTTTTCACATGAGAACTCCACATGAAATTTCTAACATACTTCTTATACCAACAAAAGCGCAAAATATGGAGGAATGAAAAAATATGTGAAAAATAATTATATGTATAAACTTTCATAGGTACAAAAAAACAGGTCCTCGACATAAGAATCTATAATCATAAAATAACTAGCTAGCTTTAAAATGCATCCTACATCATCTTACTAGGCTTTAAGAAATTTGACTCCAACTAGTAAGGCTCGAATAGATAAGGTAGTGGATGAAGATATGTTATTATAATTACTTTAAATCATCCATGATCCTCAAGAGGGATACAATCTCTCTAACAAGTAAGAAACTCATGTTCTCCTTCTCACAAATAATCTTGAATGTTGACTCAAAATTTCCAAAAGCATTAGTGATGAAAATTAATGTATGGTGTAACTTTACTCATAACTCTTAATTTCTTATAAGTGAATAATCATAATAAAGTAACTAGATTAAAAATAAACAAAATAAAAAAAAAATATGTTAAGGGTAAAGTGCTTCAAGCTTTTTTTTTTTATAACAACAATACTAGAAATTTAATTTCTATAAAAGAAAAAAAAAGAATTAAGAGGATATAATTGATAAAAATTGTTGCTAATAGATGATAAATGATGGTGAAATAGGGATAAATTGAAGTTAACCCCTATAAATAGTCCGTCATCATGGAGATCTCTTTCATTCCTTAAAAAATATTTTAAAGGTTATGAACTAACAAACACATGTAATCATTTTTTTAGAAATAGAATAAAAAATAAAAGTAAAATTACTCGAGTAATTTTTTTTCCCAAAATTATGCTCTTAATTTTAAAAGCAATTAAGAGAGATAAACTCGAATACATAAATCTATATGCAATTAAAACCTGTTAAATATTATCATTGTTTTTATATCTATCATAATTATCTTACTTATCACTATTATTATTTCTATCTATTGCCATTACCATATCTATCAAAATTTCCAATAGTTTGAAATCCCTATGGGCCTTCACTTAAACATAGCCCAATACATTGATACTCCAAATATAATATCATGATATAAATTCCCAAGACCACCTAACCTAAAAGGTCCAATAAAATAAGAGTCACAACATTACCCAAAAAGTATATATAGTTTATAATCTTAGGCTTTACAATGATGATAATGATGTTGCTGATGATGTTTTGCATTAGCATATCTATATGAAACTACTTGTATGTTAGTATATGAGCTATAATGAAAGCATCAACATTATCATTGTCAACATTTGTTACATTTAAACTTAAAAATAATTTCAGCATCTAGAAGTCAAGTGCATAAACATTCATACTTATATTCTTAACAATCTTAACTATTCCTAAAGTAATGATTGTATTTTGTTGAAAGAGATCATAATAGATATGTAGCATACCTGCTTTAAACCTTTTATTGTAAGATTTTGGGACATTCCAAGATGATTTAAATAGGCTCTAAGGTTCATAAAAATAGCAACTTTAAAATGTCATCTAAGTGATAAACACAGCAAAGCAGCAAATTTGGGGTTCAAAGCAATGGAACAATACCTGGTATTTTCTATTAAGTGATTTCTTAATATTTATCTTCTAATTATTCATTATATTTGTCATTCTATCATAACATTATTTTAAATTAATATTATTTTCTTTCTTTTATAATAAACAAGCCGGGTCCTCAGCTAGCTTAATAAAATTAATTAAGCTTAAGCTGAGGGTGGCTCGAACTCGACTCGTTTACACCCTTCATACTAAGAAAACCTGTAATGCTAAATAAATATGCCAAAATTTAACCTCTAATATTGTTATTGCCGTATTTTTTAGATTTATACCTTGAATAACAAAATGTAGTGGAGATAAAAGCCTTTCAACTTCACATTATCATGAATTAAACTTTTCACAGCTAACCGTTAAACATGTTACACACACGCACACACACACACACATATTCTAAAGAATGATCGGAGGCTATAATACGAGCCTCCAACCACTCTCATGTGTATAACCACTCGATTCCGTACTGCAAAACAGATACACTCAGGCGGGATAAAACCCATGACCTCAGGGGACTTACGCTAGGCTGTACTACCAAAGAGTCGCAGCGAGCGACATATATATTATATATATATATATATAACAATACATTTGAGCATTTTGCATCGATTATTTTAATTTATAACATTTATGAAAAAAGTAAATCAGCCTTTCAGCTGCATCAGGCTGTGTTGTCAGGAAGCAAACTGCAAGATAGCTCCACCAAAATCACCAGGGGCTCTGCTCATCTGCTAGCTGAGAATCATCATGCAAAACAGTTCTCAGATAGGGTCTACCTGGTTGATTTCTTCCGAGGGGGAAATTCCAGAATGAATCGGAGTGCTCATGAAACAAGTAAAATACCACAGCCGAGCCTAAGAAAAGAGCCAGAAGCAGCAAATATATTTGCCATTCTGCAAAAGACAAGCAGATCAAAGTTCAACAGTATGCTAAATTAAAGAAATTATAGAGTATTTTTATTATAAAAAGTCACATACAAAAAAAGTACCTTTCCAATCTGCAGGGACACTGAGCTTTGTGATCGCTGCTCCTCCTTTGGATGTGCTAATTACAATTCTGCATTTTTGGTAATCATATTAGCTAGTATTATAGGATTGTATTTAAAAAAAAATTTTTTTCTATGGTACGAACCCCGACCATCCTTATGTGCCTATAATTCGAGTACAACACCCTACTCTCGGGAGGAATCAAACCCCAGACCAGAGGGGATATACAATTGACAAACAGATGTCTTACCAATTGATCTGAGTATGCGGCGCTATTGAAGGATTGTATAAATATATACTAGTACTAGCTAAATTGAGCAAAAATTGCATGGCAAATTAGGTACTAGTGTGACTGTCACCTACTGATTATAAAACTTAAAGCCAGACTTACTGCAAGAGAAGCTAAGTTTTGATATTTGTGGACCTCTTCCGTCTTTTACTAAATCCTTGGTATATTCAAAATTTGGTGAGGGTCAAAGTTAAAAAAGCATAAAAATTTTGTACCTCATATTTGCATCTCAACAAAATATTTAAAATCATTTTTAAAAAGTTATACTTGCAGATGCACAAACACACACATGCACCCCACCCGAAAGAGAATAAGTTCATCAAGTTGGAATCATGCTAGACTCACCGAGTTGTAGAAGAACTTACCAGTTGGATTCAATGGGACTCGCCATCCAAGTTTCAGGGTAACTCGTTCAATCAGATTTGAGGCATCTACATGCCAATGACCAGATAGACTCATATGCTGACTAAAGACGTAAAATTCATTACGCTTGAGCATGATCATCATCAGACTCATCGGATCAATCCCGACCATGCAACCGCCTATGCCTAAAGAATCTAATCTGACTAAACTTTTGGAGACCCAATGACTCCTATATGACTGACAAACGACTATCAATTCAAGTTCGAGTATATATCAAGGCAACACATCTCTTGTATATTTTTGTATTTATCACAGGTACAACTTACTATGAACCTTTTTAATAAATAGGGGATTTCAGTTTTGAATTTTGGGCATTATACTATACTATTTCAGCTATGATAGTGGATTTTTCTTTATTTGTTTCATCTCTGTCTAGCCTTTTACATTTCCATTGAGTTAGCAAGTTAGTACAACTCACAAACAAATTTTGATCACCATCTTAAAATGTGCGATAAGCGTAGATTTATGCAAAGAATTAGAAGGGATACTCAGAGATCTGTTGAAGGGCCAAACAAAGGTCCAGCCAGAGAACCCAAGCTGAAGGAAACTTCTATGAACATAGTGATAAAATGACTTTGTGACTACACTTGACAAATTGCTAAGATGGAGGAGCAATTTGGTAAAACAATCCAAGGTGTCCTGGATTTAATTGTTTAAAATCCCAAAATAAAATCCCTACTGAGGTTGGACTGATTAGGCAGATATGTTGCTTACTTTGTGTCGATTGTCTCACGGTTCGATATAAATGCCGTGCTAAAATGCTGGTTTTTTATGACCTTTAAAAAATCTGCCTTTATATGATTTTCTTGTCTACCACTTAAGACAATCACGTCATTTGTTGAAATCAGTAAGTTGATTATAACACAATTTGTCAATGCTCAAAGTCCACAAAAGAACCAGTAGGCTTTATTGAGAATAAGCCAAGTGTCTGTCAAGAGACCCAGAAGCTTCATTATATAAGTTAAGATGATAGTCTCTAGCTCATTTTGATATTTGAAGCAAGATTAGTCTTATTACCCTTTTTTTGATCATTTGAGATAAGCCCCAAAGCCACACTAAGTTTTGCACACAGTAGATATTGTGATAGAAACAAAGATAGGTGTGTGTTTCGTAATGTATATATGTGTAAAATAAAAATTATACATAAATATATATATATATATATATA